TGTCTGAGACGTTTTTGCGTCTTTTTTAATTGTTTGACATTAGAGTGCATAGCCACCGTGATATTTAATGTCAAACGTATTTACTTGTATTAATTCTGAATTTTGTAGATTTTTGTTTAAACGTCGGCCAAAAAGCTTAATACAAATCTTGTGCGTTAACCATTTTACAGTGCTCAATTATTAAAGCACTCCGCTGCGCGTCGTGCTTCAAATTCATTTCGCACTGTAAAATGTAAGTTACCGCACACGAATGTAAATAACTATTTTACTCCTCATACAAGTTTCAGGACGGACGTTTTAAAATTGGCTGAATTTTTTTTTATGAGAATGCTACAAAGTGCATTCAGGTAAAATACCAGAAACATGGAAAAAATGTTAAAAAAATTCTATCTGTCAAAAAATTTTGACATTCATTTTTGACATTTGACATTTTTTATGATACTGATGATCTTGTATATGTTTTTTACAATTATTAAGTAAATGTACAGAAATTTTGCGAAAAAAGCCACAAATAACATTGAACAGAATTACAATTTATGATACAGCTTCCTTGTTTCCTCTTGGAAATTTATTTTTCCAACAGAAAGAAATAGAGTCAAAGTGCAAACTTTAAACCGTCATAACAAAAATTTTTATAGATAATTTTTTTTTAATTTTTCCATGTTCCTGGTATTTTACCTTATATGGCATTTTTCTCTGGGGCGCGAGTTCTGGCGCACCCTGTATTTTTAATGGGGCTAGAACAGTTCTGCAGTTTTGCATACGTAGTACATGTTTATTTTTTTTTTAATAACTAATGTTACTGAAAAGTTCTAAATTTCAATATAAAAACCAAAAGAAACACATTTAATCAAATTAAAAAAAAAATAATGTGATAAAAAAATTATAGTAATATGCCTTTGAATTTGATATAAGTTCATATTATAAGTACCTATATTTTTTTTTAGCCTGAATTTTATTCAGTTGCTAATTGGTAACACAAACTGAACCAAAAGTAACGCCCAAAATTCATATTTTTGTTAGTGGTCGTTTTTCAAAAAAATCTTTAACAGGTCGATTTAATTTTTTTAAATGCTATATTTTGACATTATAGTGACATTTATGACGTCATTCGTTTTTGAGTTGTGACGTCATGTTTAAATGACAACTGACATTTTTGTTCACTGTCTTAAATAGCACACACAAAAAAAAATAAAAAATGAAATTAAAACAAAAGAAATAAAATCAAAAAAATAAAAAATACTGCCAACTAAACACAAAAGGATTTATCTTTTTGTTCTTGCCTTATTTTATAAGGGACAACTGTTTTTTGTATTTTTTTTTAAATAATTAGCATGAAAACACTTAATATGAAACCTAAACAGAGAAAAATAAAAACACCCCTTATAAAATAAAGCAAGAACAAGACGATAAAGCTCTTTGTATAAGACTTTCTATAACTTTATTAAGTTTTCTTATTTCATTTTCTTCTTTTTTTGCATTTTTTTACTTTATTTTTAGAAGTAGTCATAAATATCACTACAGTGTCAAAATGTAGCATTTAGAAAAATTAAATCGACCTGGTTAAGGATTTTTTTGAAAAATGACTCATAACAAAGACATGAATTTTGTGCGTTAATTTTGGTTCAGTCTGTATCATAATTTTATGCGTTATTGTTTCTAAAGAAAGTTGTTAAAAAAAAACAAAGTTTTAAAGTAGGGCTCAGATAAAAAAAATACCAAGACAAACACAATTTATCCCGACACATCAAACTTTCATTTCTAACACAACGCGTTTCAACCACAAAGTGGTCATCCTCAGGTAATAATAAAACTCAACTAATCACCGTCATTAGTAAATTGTTCTAAATATAACACATAATTTGCAATAAGATAATTTATTAACAATTATTTTCAAAAATCAAATTCCTTGGTAAAGGAGGAGTACTCTTTATATTTTATTCTCTCCAGATATTAGGAAAAAAGTGTGTAGGTTTCGAGTTCCTTTTATGGGGTTTGCTAGACTAAAACAATATTTTAAAGAATCGCAATGTTTTACAAATTGTCAACAAAAAGAATTATTTATTATTTGAAAAAAATAATTGAATGATAATAATGTACTGAAAAAATGTGACTCAATTTTTATCGAAAAAATTTCCAGATAAGTTGCTATTTTGAAGGAAGAAAATCGCATAACTCTAAAACAAAACCAAATTTTATCTCAAAATATGATCACATTTTTTAGAACTTTAATTTGCATTAATTATTACTTTCTGAGACAAATAATTAAAAAAAAAACTCTTGGTTCCATACTTTCTATTCGCCTTGTACATAAAAGCAAAACGCAATATATGAAATCATTGAAACTACCCATCTGACATTTTTTTAGATTTAAGCATTTCTTTGGGAAATTTTTAAATGTTTTTGGAAGTCTAAAAATTTTTTTAATCCAGTACATCTGACACTTTCTTAGTGTCCCCAACTGTCTTTTGTAGCACGATATTTTGTAACGTCTCGAATGACATTTTTTTAAATTTAAGCATTTCTTTAAGAAATTTTTAAATGTTTTTTGCAGCTCTAGAAATTTTTTAAACCAATACATCTGACACTTTCTTAGTCTCCCCAACAGTCTTTTGTAACACGATATTTTGAAACGTCTCGATTGGCATTTTTACTACTAAATTTAAACATTTCCTTAAGAATTTTTTTCTTTTGAAAATCAAAAAGTCAGTACATTTAACACTTTCTTTTTACTTCAAGCCAAAGTAATCCGAAGTGGCCTAAAGTGACCTAAACCGACTGAAGCTACATGAAGTGACCCAAACATTATTTTTTACAATCTACAAGAAACTTTACTAAATAAAAATGAAACTCTTAATCAAATCCGATAGTTCTTTAATCTATTGTTAAAAAAAAATCATATCATTATGTTGATTTGTTCTTAAGATTTTTTTTGTGCTTCGAGGTACTTAATTTTGTACATTGAAAAAATAAAAACGTTCTAAAACATACATCAAATTTACGAAAATTCGAAACAATAATATTTATACGTGATTGTTTTGGCATGAAATTACTCGACAATAAAAAAATTAAATTAAAACAAAAATTAAAGTTGTTTGCCCAAAAATATAAAATTTGTTCACTTTGCAAAACCAAACAAGTTGTTGGAACAGCCGCCTATCGCTAGTAAAATATTTACTGTCTCGAGATGGCTTAATTTGAAATTTATCTAACCATTACCTTATTCCTAACTCTTGGATACCTAGCAAAACAAATTTATCTTTTTAATGTTTATTATAAAATTAACCTTATTACACACTATTCAGGTACACACGAACTTTACATTAATCTTTGTACTTAACGTAGGTAGTAATTTTCCTTAACTATATATATTTTATCTAATCTTAGTACACATAAACGCTAGAATAATACCCATGATTATGTTATACCGGTATCCTGATGACAAATAACACTGACTACCTCCAAACTTGTCAAAAATACTGTACTTTTATTTAGTAACAATAAAAAACAGCCATCGTTGCACTTAGTTTAAACTAGATAATACATCACAAAGCTGCTTCTCTGAGAAAATTGTTAGAAATAAAAGTACAGTAAGGGTGATTCTGATGGCTTGAATATAAATAGATACGTATTTTGCATATTCTCTAACTATTAGCTATACAGGAAGGAGATAAAGATAATAATATGCAAAGTTGACTTAAAATTCACATAAGGTAGTTAAAAAAGGATGTGACATACGAACTGCTTGCATGCAAATAACCTCACTTGCTTGTTGCTAATCATCACGAAAACGAATGATTTTTCACGTGAAAATCTCGTCGATTTTGAGTAAATTACCCACAGCGTCGTTTCTAACTGTTCTTAATGGCGGTTCAAATCTCGCGGCGAAAGGAGTCCCTTGTAAATCAATGATTCTTGGGAGATTATTACTAAACATTGACTCACTTAAATGATAAACACCTGTGTTTGCCAAAGACAAATACTGCAATTTGTTTAGAGACTTGAAGCCCTTGGGGGCTAGAGTGTTTAGAGTGTTACCATCTAGAATTAGATTCTTCAAATTCGGTAGTCCTATAAACGTGAATTCGGAGATTTCGTCGATTCGATTATGGGACACAATTAATGTTTGTATTGTATTCGACACTAGAAACACAGTTTGTTTGGTGAAATGAATCTTATTTCGCGAAATTTCCAGTCTTTCCAGTTTGTGGTTGTTTTTGAAGGTCCAGGGATCCAAAGAAGTGATATTGTTGTCTGATAAAATGACTGTTGTTAGTTGTTTTAGGCCTCGGAAGGCCGTTGCGTGGATTTCGCTGATTCGATTTTGGTTTAGTTCGATTTTGGTGAGCGATTTGTAGGTTTTGTTGGAGAAAATGGTTTCGGAAAGGGCTGAGATTTGGTTGTATGCGAGATTCAAGGTTTTGATCTCGGGGGACCCTTGAGGGATGTCTTGTAGAAGTTGGCCCATTTGTACAAGGTGCTCCGGGATTGTTGTTGTTGTTGGGTCATTAATGGGCTGCAACAGTGCCCTGAAATAATAATTAAAATTTAGATTTAGATTTAAATTTAGATTTGTTTTGAGATTAAGGTGAAAAACGTTATCCAAATTCGAAAGTAATCTTTGAGTTAAACGCTGAAAAATAATAATAACGTCACAGATTGAGATAAATCGATTTTTAACACTAAAAAGCAAATTACAAACAAAATTTAATCACTACGAATTACCTTTTTCAAAAATTCTATATGCGATAAGATAATATAATTTATGTAACACTTTTACTACAATCATAATTACATCAAATTTAATAAGTGAATGTGATTATAAACTTGTGACTTTTTGATTTTTTTTACCCAGGTCCGTAGCTAGGGGGGGGCTACTTTAAAACTTAAGAAATAATAATGCATAAAATTCATTTTTCAAAAAAATCCTCAAACAAGTCGTTTTTAATTTTTTTTTAATATCAACCGACATATTTTATTACTGTTTTAGATAGTACACATCGTTGTTCTTTTGGTAAGCATGAAAATTCAAAAAAATAAAGTAAAAAAATGCAAAAAACAACAAAATTAATTAAAAAAACTTATAAAGTTTAATACAGAGAGCTTTATCTACATGTACCTGCTTTATTTTATAAAAGGTAATTGTTTTTGTTTTTATTTTTTTGTGTTTTGGTTTCACATTAAGTGTTTTCATGCTAATTATTTAAAAACATATACAAAAAACACTTGCCCCTTATAAAATAAGGGAAAAACAAAAAGATAAAGCCTTTTGTGTTTAATTGGCAATAATTATTAATTTTTAATTCCTTTACCGAGGAATTTGGTTGGTTTGGTAATAGATTATTGCAAATTATTATTATAACGTTGTCCTTTTTAACAACTTTCTTTAGAAACAATAACGGATACAATTATAATACAGACTCAACCAAAAGAAATGCACAAAATTCAAATCTTTGTTATGTCATTTTTCAAAAAAATTCTTAACCGGGTCGATTTAATTTTTTTAATGCTACATTTTGACACTATAGTGACATTTCGTTTTCAAGTAATAACGTCGTTTTTAATTTTTTTTTTAATGTCAACCGACATTTTTATTACTGTTTTAGATAGTACAGTAAGAAAAAAAAAGTAAAGAAAA